GGACCCTCAACATCTCACTTCACTGGTGTATGCACACTGCATGGTGTTTGACCAACAGTCGTCATCTTCAGGTGGCTCTTAAAATTTTTAATGAAACTGCTATGCTTATGACTGTTAAGTTTAGTTTTTAGGGCATCCCTCATCTATGTGCCCATGTGCCCTGCGGTGATGGGTAGTTCCTCCTGTTGTGTTGTGTGTAGCTGTAGAAATAGCACCCGGTGGGCATGCACTAGCAAGTACAACACAGGCAATAATGAGCCTGTGACATAGACAGTGAGCCGTTATGTTTTGCAAATGTGACCCACCAGTCATGGTGCGCTTACACGTCTGCAGTGCAGGAGGTTACAGGCCCAAAAACTAAGGCAAGAGAATAATAAAACAAAAAAAAATTAAGCAGGTGAAATTGGAAGAGGAAATTGATAATAATAAAAAGGACAAAGAAGAAGGAAATATTTAAGAGGAACAGAAGTTTTTCTTGATGGTTTGGATCTTAAGAGTTAAGATGTGTGAGAGATGAAAATTTTGAGGAAGTGTATGAACAAAGGGTGTAGAGAATCAGAACTAACCAAGTACTGAGGGAATTATACAGAACTCCTGGAATGGTTGGGTCTTGTGATTAGAATGCATGAAACAAGGGTGAGGAAGGAAATGCGTGGAAGGGAGACAGGAGAAGAAAGTGGGAAGGCTCAATTGAGATGCAGAGAATGATTTATGGTAGCTGCAAGTGAAGAGATGTAGGAAAGTAACAGAGAAGAATGGGCATATGTTGTGAAGGAGGTGAAGATTTTCAGAGCACTGTAGAGCATAGCAGTGAGATGATCATTCGTGTAGTTCTGCTCACATGAACTCTTCTTGAGTTCAAACAGAAAACGTTCATATGTGAAATGCTTAGTTCCCATTATAATGTTGCTTCTTATTCATCAGGGAGCCACTGAATCAGTGACTCAGAAAATTGGCACCTTTTGCAGTTTGCTTGATAGGACAGCAGGTTTACTTCTATACTTAAGTATTGTGTCGTGAAGTATGGGAGAGTATTCTTGCCACTAGATGGAGGTGAGTAGTCAGTTTCATGCCCTGGACACTATATCCCTGGGGAAAGTTCTACCACATCCATTAGATAGGAGGCTTTGTGGACCCCAGAGCCTTCATGAATGCTGTGGAGAAGACAAAAATCTGTTGCTGCTGCTGGGAAACAAACCCAGATTCCTTGGTTGTCCAGTCTGTGGTTATCACTGTGCCAACTGAACAATCCTTACTGTCTTACGATAGTGAGGGAAGCAACAGTATGTTGAGATTTGAGGTTTTTACGAAGTGAATATTGTGGTATATAGAGATATAGACCCATTGCTAAGAGGTGGCTCTGTAAACAGCAGCCGTTGCTGGGTAACACCTGCAACAATAGAAGAGTTGTGTTTTCTGTGGTCCATGTTCCAACTGCTTCTAGGCAACGGCTTGGTAAATGTGTTCCCACAAAAATGAATATGCATGCAACAATCGGAGTATTGTTGGAAACATGGTTTTTGTTGGTCTGTGGAAGAGACTATGTGTGAGGAGCTTCAGAGCTTAGTCACTTGAAAGTTAGGCTGTGAAGACAGAAGACTAGGAGGTTGGTGTGAATGGCTGCCAGCCTGGGATCCAGTTAGTTGAAAGCCAGTTCTGTACAGGAGTCTGGAGAAAAGAGTTAGTTGCAAAAGTGTTCAGTTGAAAGTCAGCTGTGAAGAGAAGGCTTCATGTATAATATTTTGAGTGTGTAATTTAGGGAGACTTTTATAGTTCCTGTGTTAAAATCTTTTTCCAGGAAATGGCTAGTGGAAAGTGTAATAGACTGAGGACACTAATCTGTAGGTGCCAGTGCTTTGTAAATTGTGGAAATCAGCAGTAGTGTTACAGTTACTTGTAGTCATGCGTCATCACCAACCCAAACTCCGTATATAGTCACTCCTACAAATGACAATATAAAGGTCATTGTGACGGTACATAGTTTGGTAGACAGATGGCACCACTTCTTTGGACTAACATATTGCCTTCATTCTCAGGGTATAAGACAGGCTATTAGGCCAAGTTAGTTTGTTACAGATAGTATTGAATCATGTTTAGAACTCTCCTAATTATTTTCTACCTCAGGAATGATAGTTTGTGTTATGGTGAGTTATGTTGAGGGAATGGGTCCTCTCGGAGTTCATTGTGTGTCTGAGCTGCAAGATGTTTACTAACTATGACCCCTAATTCTAGGATATGTGAGTCAGAACAAGCAACCATATGATAATTTTCATTTCATGCATCCTGTTGTGTTAAAATATATACAGCTTATTTATTTTACTGTCAAATAAATAAGTTGTATAAACCATATGATAGTTATTCTTGCTATAATGGAATATCCTCAGTATAAGGTGTTCCTTCATTTAACATTCAATTTCAGTGTTCCTAAGTCAGTAGTCTCAGTGTTAAATTACCTCCATCTAAGATTTTCCTCAGTTTAGTGTTCCAATCTGTAACCGGCTTCTCTTTCGAGGCTTCTTGCCCCACAAGTTGGGCGTCACCTCTTCTCTCTGTAACCGTCCTTACCTCACCTTCACTACCCCCCTTGTTGATTGGTTGGTCACGCGTTGTTCGTCGCTCCTCTCCTTCTTTCTTCTTAGGTTGGGCGCCAGTAAGCTCAGGTGGTGTCGGCTTACAATAGTCGGAGGTTTATTTTGGAAAGTCAACTAGTTCAGCTGTGGGTAGAGCTGGGATCCTTCTCAGAGCATTTGCTAGGGCCTCGCATAGGACGGGGAGGGAAGTAGTTGGTTCAATGCTAATTTACACTNGCGACTGTTTGGCAACTGTTTGTCAACTAACTTGTGACTCTTTGTCTGAAAACACTGAGGTCCCCTGGACATCAGTTCCTGTGCTAAGTCACTCCCCCTTAATTCCACTGATTGGGTAATTTTGAGAACTGGGGTTTACACAATTTCTGAATCTCCAATCAGCTAGCTGCAATTTGGGGCTTTGAACCTTAAGTCCTAACGTCGTTTTCGACAGTACACTGACAGATAACCTGCTTGGCGTGAGGTTCAAAACCGCCTACTTTTAAGTTACGACGTGCAGGACCTGTCAGTGATCGAATTCTCAAAGTTTGCCGCCATGCTACTCACGAACAAAATTTCTCAGAAAAAAGCCACAGGGGGTGTTTCCTGTGTAACGTCAAGACTTGGAATAAGTCCATTCCTGAAAACAACAATGTGACTATGTCCCACTGGCTTTGGTATTACTTGTTACCTGCACTTATTTTTATTACTGATTATTCTAATTATTAAATTAGTGAGTGACAGTGGAGCGGTTACAAATCCACCCATCCCCAGAAAAAATTGAAATGGTTGTTTCAGCATGTGTACTACTCATTTTATGAACATTTGCCACAACAAAGTGTATCAGTTTGTACCCAGTTTTCACTCAGTGAACTTCGTTTTTGATACAAGAAGCAATTTATGTTCATAAGTTTGGTGGCTTATAAGTAAAGTACATGGAAATTTCATTTTCGATTTTGATTTTTCATATTAACAATTGCCATTGCAAATCGAGGAATGCGTGTAGGTGTATAACTGGTGACAGTTCCTTGTATGAAATCATTCATTGTTACTATGCATTATGGGGTAACGTTCCCACCTCATGACTCAAGGTACGCGGGTTCAAACCCGGCAGAGGTCGTGGAAATTTAAGGGCGAAAAAATTCAGGGAACAAGTCATCCGAGAGGGACTTTAAGCCGTGTGTCCCGTGTCATAGATTTACGGCACATAAAAGAACCTCATGTCTCTAGGAGGCCTCTGAGCTAAATTACGGGCCCTTTCCCGCCCAAATAGTCTCCAATGCCTCTGCTGGATGGGGGAGGCATCAAGGTACTGGGGGCCGACCTCGTTGGCTCTACGGGGGCTGATGGCATGCACCGTTACCAGTAGGGTATGGCGACAGTAGAAATTAAAAGGGGGACGCACAGTGGACCAATAACTGGTCTAAGTGCATGGGGAAACCCATCCCCTCTCATAATACATACATACAATACATTCTATGCATTATGCTCTTGATCACTTCCAGTTACAAGCATTAAGAATGTTTGATCTTTGTGTGGGGAATCTGCGACATTCTCACTGTAAGGCGTATATTGATAGACCTGCTTCAGTGTTTAGTTTTTGGGCATTCTTTCCAAATGTATTTTGATAGTTCTGTAATGTTGTATTGATATACTGTTCTTCCCAGTTCTTTTTTAATATCTTCAATACATTTTTGATCCATCGTTCAATTTCCTGTCACTGCTCTGAGCAAACACACTTCTGACATCTCCGTTCTATCTGTTTTTCCTTCTATAAGGATCCAACATTCTGAGCCAAATGAAAGCAGTAGCAATGGTTTTATTTTGAACAATGTAATGCAATATTTAATTATTGTAGTCTCAGTTTTTCATTAATGTAACTATTGAAGTATTTCATTTCTAAGATACTTTTATATTGGTGTCGTTTCGATTATGACTCTGCCAAATCTTGTGATAAGTGGGTACTAGTGTTTGTTGGGGAATACTGCCTCTATCATCTGTACTGAAGAAGGAAGCAGTATCTTCCTATGAAACGCTGATACCCACCTATTACGAGACTACAGGCTGCCAGAGTATACAGTGTCATTATCCAGAAGACCACAATATGATTTCACACTGCCATGGAAACTTAAAATCCCACAAAAGATAACAATGTGTTTTTCGTAGTACAGTGTGTCCTTGTATTACATAAATTTATGTTTTGCAAATTTGCCCATATGGAAGTTTGGGATACATATTAATATTTCTTTTAAGGGAAAGAATGTTTGTTAAATTTAGTTTTGCATATGTCCATATGTTGATAGCTGGGATAGCATGGTTGCTATAACGACTGCCTACAGGCTGGACGACTGTTTGAGTCCTGGTAGGGTTAAGAATTTTCTCTTCTCCATGTCGTTATTCTGCTATCTAGCGACAGCATCATTTTGTTTTCAGTGCTACCTGGGAGATGCTTTCCGCTGCGCAAGCTGTCCTTACCTTGGCATGCCTGCGTTTAAACCAGGAGAGAAAATTCAGCTAACAGATCAGCAGCTGAAAGCGGATGTTTAGGATTTATACAGTAATATGTTTAAAGTACTTATTTAATTTAACCTGAAATGTTCTATAGTTGTCAGACGTTTGTGTCTTATCATGTAACAAACATGTAATAGGACTTATTTCTGTTTGGCGCTTACAGAATTCAATAAAATTGTTCTGTGTAAGAAAGTAAAGTTTATGCAAAATTGGCTTTTCTTTGGCATTAACCCTTTCAGTACCAATGCTGCATATTCTAATGTCTGTCCAGGCCAAACGTGAATGTAGTCATGTTACTGGCTCAACCCCAAATGTACTTGCTTCAAATCCTCTTTGTTCCTCACACCAATGTTGAATGCATTTGTGCCATCTTCTCCTTGCAGCATCCATTTTGTAGGGTCAGTGGACTTGTCTTACATGATCTTCAGACATCTGAATTTTCATGCCTGTTCAAAGAATGTAAGTTATTGAGATAGTAACTTGAAATTTTCATTTCAGTATTGCCAAAAAAAGAAATGTCATTTTGTGACAAGTCATCTGACTTGTAAACACCACATGGTGTAAGTTCATAACAGTACTGTTATGCTACTGCTCTCCGCAGCTATTCAACTGCTCTGAAGATGGAGGCGCTACGTTCCTCCGAAACGTCGGCCAAAACGAAGAATACACGGTGCCTAAACCCAGAAGACAACTTTCTTCAGTACTGTAAATTGTTTAGCATGACTGAAAAACTCAATTCTTTTGCTTTGGTTACGTAATAACTCTTGTTGCCATGTGGTACATCCACATCGCTCTAGTAACAACACTCAGCAAGTTGGCTCAGGTAGTGATGCTTGTGAATTTTATTGAAAAGGTTCCTGTTTCAAATTTTGGCTCGGATACCAGTTATCCCCCACTCAAGTCATGGATGTCTGTGTGTGTGTGTGTAAGTAGTGGCCTTGAGGTGGGCTGATCCTTCATCCAAGGAGTCCTACCGTCTGTGTTAAAAAGATTGCGGAACTGAAGAAAGGGCCAGGGCCCAACAAAGGGCTGTAGAGCCATTGATGAATGAATGAATGAATACCACTTATCCTGGCTGAGGATTTTCCTGGTTTTCCTTGTCCCATCAGGCAAGTTCTGGGTTAGTATCTTATATTATTCATCTACACTGCATGCAGTTTAAATGGCTAACAATAATGAGTAATTATCAAGATTCATCTATGAGCAAAGGCGCTGCTTTGCTTTCAGTTCTACAAGATATCATTTATCAAACAAGATCTACCTATTGGAGATATACTATTGTGACATGTCGACACATTGCTAGTCAATGACCTTGAAATAAGTAAATATGCAACAGCTGTTTCTAAGTAGCGGCTCCGCAAACAAGCATGTTTCTGCAAACGCAACAATTTGATAGAGCACTAATGGGAAGCTGTGTTTTATGTGTGGTCCATGCTGAGTTATAAGCAGGACAAGTCTGCAATCAGTCAGTTGAGAGTTGCTGTAGCTGAGGCTGTGGACAGTTCGGGAATCTGGAGGAAATGGAACATCCGCCTTTGGAAACCATTACCAGAAGACTGATGAAGACACAGCAGGCAGAGAAGACTGAAGCGTGTGCTGTAGTGAACTGTAAAGTGTGTGAATTAGTGGAATTGTTGTAATTACTTATAGTTATGGATTTGTTAGAGTTCAGTAATTCCAGTTACCAATCCAAACACCATCCATTGTCACTCCATCATGTGACACCATTTACAGACAACAATAAAACGTTTTGTTGCAGCATGGACAAACATCACACCAAATATGGCATTCCTGAAAAGGGTTCAGTGAAGTGCAATGATTTTTTGAACCCTTGTTCTGTTTAAGTACAAATTGTCTGGAGCAGATCCACTTTGGCTACTGCAATTTTTACATACAGAAGAACAAAAAGCAGATATGTAATGCTCATTGCTTTTATATTCCTATCTCAGGCCTACCGTTGTGAACAGAATCTCTCTCTGTTCTCAATCTTTAATTGTTATCTCACAGCCCTCAACTGTATAGTGCTCTCGAGGCACTGTACATTTAGTGATAGGTTCAAAGCTAGATAGTGTCAGTAGATTTATAGCTGTGGACCTCAAAATCTATGTACTGACTGGTTAGTTGTCTAAACATGTAGTGGAATGTTAAAAGTTATGAATGAGGTTTAGTACAATCATTTCTATGAGGGTGTATATAAACCCCATTAAAATGAAATGCATTCTCTGGTTTCATAAATCTCATTCTTTTGCAATTGTGTGAAGCCAGGAAGTAATCACAAACCATCAGTCCACTTATTAGGCAATATTTTCGAAGAATGCCTTGTGTGGGGGTCATTTGTGTCTATTCCGTTGGTGCCACGCTCTCAGAACCTAAACCATTGGACAGATTTCCTTTAAATTTTGCATGGAAGTCTTTCACTGAAGAAATATTGAGCAATTCCAATTTTCACTTCTGGGTTTTTAATAATGGATCCGTCATCGATCCCACATCTGACACCATCTGTAACGTTTATCGTTATTTTGGAACAGTTATTGCCTAACCGTTAGTAACGACTTAACGATATGACGTAGTTTGTCTTGTCCACAACAATTCCACCATCAGAGGATAGCCGTCTTGCCGGACACTACTTGCATTTTGCACTGTTGCTTAGGTCGTCTTGACAGCTTCACTTAATTGTCCCTCTGGAGAACTCCACAACAATTTTACACAGGCGAGGTCATTCTGGAAATATATCGAAGGTTCCCAGTCGTTTTCGGCCATCGGTTGTGGCTGGGTGGCTCGTGAAGAA